GGGGGGGGGGGGGGGGGGATTGTCGGGGGCAGGGAAGCGAGCGGATACTGACGTTCTGCCACGCATGACCGCCCCAGCGTTTGCCATTGGTCCGCATTTGATCACAGGATACTGGCGCGCTGCCATGCATGACCAGAAGCAGCGGTTCGCCGAAGGCTCTCATTCATGAGAGGATACAAGGCTTTGCCTTCCATGACTAGCTGGATTTGCGTGCGCGAACATGAAAGGTGTTTTTTTTCGAACCCAGGGGCACCTTGAGAGATGGAGAAGAGGGAAGGGAGAGGGTACTGGTGCTTTTACAGTCCACGACCGTAGCAGCGTTTCGCCATAGACCTCCCGCCTTCACCTTGTCGAGAGGATACTGATGTTTTGCCACATGCTTGGCCGTGGTAGCGTTTTGCCATAGACCCCCCCCCCTTCCTGTCCTTCCCAAGCTGGGACGGGAGATGAGCGGATACTGACGCTTTGCCATGCATACCCGCTGCGCGATGCCATAGACGCCGCTCCTCCGTATTCTACCAAACCTGGAACGGCAATCGTCAGGCGATTGTTGGCCCAGGAGGGTGGTTGTAGTGAAGCTGGGGGTACCGGCCACGTCAATCCCCTCCTGTCAGTGGATCTTTGGGCCTCACCCCTCACCCCCTCCCCCTCCCTCCTAGTTTTCCCGATCGCAAAACCCCCCGCTCTTCGATACACCAGCCAACTCTTGCCTCTCTCTTCGAGCACTGGGGGGGAGGGGAGTCACATCCATCACTTTTGTGATTTGTTTTGACGCGGTGCTTGGGGCGTCTCGGCAGCAAATCGTCCCGCGTGTGCGGCTGCCGTATGCATACATGTTCCGTTACTCCCATGCCCTGGTGCGTAGTGCCCGGTGCTGGGACGTTACCCTTAGGTTTTTTCTTTGGGCGGGTGTGGGAAGCGTCCTCCTATATTTTTGTTTTTGTTTTATTTCGATCGGTTTCCGAGGGCTCTTTTCTCGAACGGTCGGTGCGATACCTGTTCTTTTCTTTCTATCATTTTGTTGTCTTTTTCCGAGTGGCTTGTACCCTGTTTTTGTTTGTTTCCCCGCGGCGTCGTATGTGCCGGGTTTTGAGACCACGGGCTCCCCATTTTTTGTGGACTACAGAGCTAATGTTAGAAACAACAACAATGTATGCACATGTTAACTCATATTTTTTTCCATAGGAATATGTAACTCATGCATACATGTATGCATATGTAAGAGAACGAAATTATCCCGTCATGCCGGATGCCTGGAGGGGGTTCCCTCTCGCCCGACGTCGTTACCCTCCACCCCTCCTCCCCCCTTCCTCGTCACACAAGCGGGAAATGGTGTCGAGAGGATGTATGATAGGAAAACATTTTTGGGCCACCTTTGGCAAAGTAGGAAGGGAAGGGACCATTGACGATCGGTGATCGGTCATCCTGTGGGAACAGCACTCCGTCCTCTCGAGGAGGACGCGCAGTCAATGGTCCAACATTTAAGGCATGGAAACGGCAGAACCCCCCCCCCCTTCCCGTACCCTGTTCTCCCCTCTTGCCCGCCCCTCCCCACCTATATACCAACTCCCCTCCCTCCCCCCATTCCTCCATTCTGTCTCCCCTTCCCTTTTCCTTGGGTGGCTTTTCCTTCGCAACCGGAACCGGAACCGAAACTGATCGAAACCCGAATCGTTTCCGCGAAACCAGTCCATCCGTGCCCTGATCGACGGTTGCGAGGGGGACGGGCTGGCATCGTGCAAGGGGGTGCGGTCGGTGTTCCTTTTCGACCACGAGGAGGTGGGCAGCACCTCGTGCCAAGGGGCCGCCGGCACTCTGCTGCCGGACTGCATGAAGAGGTGAGTTCGTTTTGTGTTTGTTGTTGTTGTTGTTGGAGGTGGGGGTAGAGGTGGAGGTGGTGGTAGAGGTGGTGGTTTTATCGTTGCCCTTCTTCTTGTTCTTGTTCTTGTTCTTGTTCTTCTTGTTCTTCTTGTTCTTGTTCTTTTTTTCTCCCTTGGTTGTTGTTGGTGCTGGTGTTGTTGAATTTAGTGGTGCGAGTGGGGGGTGGTTCTGATGGTTGTGGACATCGCTGCTTTGTGCTCTGCCACAGATTGGTCGAATAAGTATCTAGGTACTCGCCGGCAGAGTTGGTGATTCCGGCAAACCTTCCAATCCTCCGTTACATTGGGATTGCATATGTTGCCGCAACTTCTTCACCACCAGCCCCCCCCCACCCCGCCCCCGCGTGCGCGCGTTGGTCTTGTTGTTGCTTTGTGTTGTCAATGAAAACCCTTCGAATTTTCCGAATCTTGTTCAGGATAGCGAAGGGTCTGGCGGCATCCCCATCAGACTTTGTCATGGAGGCAGTCGTGCGCAAGAGGTGAGCTGATCCAAGCCGGGTTGCAGTGTTTGTTTTCGGTAGCAACAGAAGCGCCAGGAACAGAAGCAAGAGGTCGAAATGGTAGACACGCGCACCAGGCAGGGTGAGTGGTTTGAGACCCCCAAGACACATTCGATTCTGTTTCTTGTTGGTCCCGTCCTTTGCTTCTTGCCCACTCACTCCGAACACTCCGTTTTTTTGCTCCTGGCGCCTTTTTTTGTTGTGTTATTTTGCTCTTACTCACAACTTTCTTGGCTCATCGTGGGAGACGACTGCCGCAAATCAACATGATACCTCGAGCCTTCTTGCTGTTTCATTTTTAGTCCCTGTCGGTGTTTGGTCCGTCTTGTTTATCTCTGTTTCTAGTTCCGATTTTGGAGTGCTTGTGCATGTCCGTATGCATCTTTCTCTCTTTTTTTCCTTCCTACCTTCTGCCGCCGCCCCTTTTCCACACACATCTTTCTTGTTTCCATCCCTTTTCTTCTTTCTCTCCGCCGCCGCAGCTTCCTCGTCTCTGCCGACATGGCGCACGCGCTGCACCCGAATTACCAGGACAGACACGACCCCGCCCTCGGCCCCAAGATACACTCCGGCATGGTGCTCAAGCATAACACCAACCAGCGGTACGCGACCAACGCCGTCACCGCCTTCTTCTTCAGGGAGCTGGGCGCGCGGGCGGGCTTGCCCACGCAGGAGTTTGCGGTGAGTTTTTTTTTGCGGAGAATTTTTTTTTTAGGTGGATTAGAAAAAGACGGTTCCCTCCACTCACTGGCTTGAGCCCATCACTTTCGACTGTGGTTGGTTATCTCTCGAGCGGGAAAATGGTTGTAGTCTCTGTGTAGTTTTCTTAAAAAGGGAAGAGCAGACATGCGTCGCCCCCAAAAAAAGTGTTTCGATGGAGGCAACAGAAAATCGAACGGAACATGTTGGAGCGGAGCGCTCATGGATGAATCATTGGAGTTGTGAATTTGATTCGTGGTTGTTAGCCGCTTTCGGCTAGTTGCCCAGGCTGCTCGCACGCCAAGAAGGCTGGACTGTCAGTCCTGGGTTCCGTGTCGATGTTTACTTTAAGAAAGAAAGAAGGGGAAAGAGAGTGCGGCAGAGGAAAAAAAGTGCAAGGAATGAATAAAATGATGGTTACACGCACGGGGTTGCTGCTGCTGCTTCTGCTGCTGCTGCCGTTGCTTTTGGCGCTACTGCTGCGCTAGGTTAAGAGCGACTCCGCATGCGGGAGCACGATCGGCCCGACACTATCCGCACTGTCAGGCATCAGGACGGTGGACGTGGGGTCCCCGCAGCTTTCCATGCACTCCATCCGGGAGATGATGGGGGCCGACGATGCCGTGCTCGGTTACAGGCACATCAAGGTGCGAGGTTCCGGTACAAGGTTAAGGTTAAGGTTTTCCTTTTTTGGGCATGTGGCGTGCATGTGCCCCCTACCCTGTAGGGTGTGTCGTCTTTTTCTCTTGTTGGTTTGCGCTTCGGGTGGTGAGAAAGGAATGTTGTTGTTAGGGCGACTGTAATGTTCCGCTGGCGCGGCTGGGTGCTGCTGCTGCTGCTGCTGCTGCTGTGCGTCAAAGAACACTGTGGCACGCGGCGGATTGTTGAAGACAGATGCATCTTTCTCGCTCGTGGCCGTCAAAGCGTGCTCGTGCCTCCGTAGCTGCCTCCTCCGCTGAAACCTTCCGCTGCCGCATCGATTGGAGCGGTAGGGACACTGGAATCCCTAAGAACGCGCTTACACCCATCTAGCAGTTGCGCATGTACCGTTCAAAAGGGGCGGTGCATGAGTCGTCACACTGTTAGTTGGACGCTCCATTCGCATGGGGGCACCGCAGTATGCATGTCACAAGACGCGTGTGTCGGAACTAATCGAACACGCGATACACCCTAATGAGACCGAAGTCATGATCTGCGGCCCCTCTCATTCCTTCTCTCTCGCTTGTCACTCCCCCCGTAACCCTGCCGCCTCCAGGCGGTGTTGGAGAACTTTTTCGAGATCGACGGGCAGCTGGTGGTAGACGGGTGCCCTCCTGCGGTGGTCGCATAAACACACGAGAACAAGATTCGATAGTGAAAGCGTGTGTACTGATCAGCAGTAGCACATGATTCTGCCCTCGGCACCATTGTTTATCACGTGCTGTGCGAATAGAGGGAGCGCGCTACAGTTATTAGTAGTATCAGACAACACCGATCGGTGACAATTTGGGGTCTCGTTCGCGCACACGTATTGTAGGGGGGAGGGAGGGGTGAGGTGGGGTGGAGGTAGGTTTCGACCAATGCGGGAAGGAGGCGGGAGAGTTTGCGCCCTCTGCGGGGAGCTGCTGCGGGCGAGATGATGACCGGCGGGTGCGAGCAGCAAACGGGCACACCACACAGGAGGCACGCCGCTTGCAAGGGCATCGTCGCCTCCGACGCGTGTCAGGGTGATACAGTTTGGTGTCGACAGCAAGGCAGCTGCAGAGAAAGGGTTTGTGGGGACCCAGAGAGAAACGGACTTGTGGCACGCAGTTTTCTGATTGGTGAAAAAACCTTGGGTCGAACAAAAAATCGACAATCGACAGGGCTTTCAGCTGCGTGCCCAAAAATCTCTTTCCCTTGCTTTTTTTTTAGTGTTGACATCGATTTCCGCTAGCGCCCAATACGCCACAGGACAACAGCAGGCAGTTATCCGGGCCGGGAAGAGAAGGCGGTTGACTTTAGTCGATCGTAGAGGCGGGAAATGCTTTCAGCGTAGAGAGATCCGCCGTGCTTTCATTTTGCTTGATGTGTTTTGTCGTCGCGGCGACCGCGGAGGGCGCAGCACGTCGTTTATCGCCGGACCGCTGCGTACACGCAGGGAGGGTTCGAAACTGCGCTCGAAGCGTAGTTGAGAAGTTTGTCTTTAATCTAGACTCGTCTCGTTCGCTTCCCACCATTGGAAAGATGGGTCAGACAAGATGAAAACTACTGCTGATGCAGCTGCTATTGCTGCCAGGGAGAAACGTCGACATCTGGCAGTTCCTGAGGAGAGTATCGGGCCTTGAGCAGACCCGCTCTACACAAGCCTCAGGAAGTGTTTTTTTTCTTTGTTGGTCCGCCACCAACAGGATTATCACAACTATTTTGAACCCATGATTGACAACCTATCCCCCCCTCGGGGCGCATAATACACTTTTTGTGGAAGCTGGAAGGGACCGCCAACCTTGGGGGGTGGGGGGGGTGGGGGGGGGTCACGTTGTCGCGGTGGCCCAGGACAATCTAGGGACGACCAGAAGGAAAAACAGTCAACCCGGGGCATTATCCATAGGGTTGGGGCTCCAGCAGAGAGAGGTAATGTAGACGGCGTTCTCGAAGGTCATTACGGCTACTGGGCCATCAAATGCGCGGCGTTCCCTTTCCGCCGAACAACACACAAAAGCGGCCTCTGCTGTCCATCTCCTGCGCCCGCCCCGTCGGTGAGCCTTCTTACTAGAGAGCGTTTTTACCTCGCTGGAAATAATGAGGTATTTTCATTGGTCAGCCGGTTGGCGCGGTCGATACCATTAAAAGAAGCACATAATACGCATGCAATCTCACCGACCAAATAAGATCATGGAACGGCGCCATTTACTTTCCATGGGAAAAGGTGCCGGCATCGATGTTGTCGCTGGCCGAGCTGTTGGGCCGAGGATCAAATCAATCATCTGTCTCGTCTCTTTCTTATCCTCTGAAACAAAAACTTGCTTTTGCAGCACAATTCCTAATGGGACCGCCGCCCGGATCTGCACACGAAGAACAAACCAAGAAATACTGTCAACACTGAACTGGAAAGTTTCGGCCTTAACGACACACGGGTGAAATTACAGGGCGGGGGG